GGGGGGGGGGGGGGAGAGAGAGAGCGAGAGAGAGAGGGAGACAGAGAGAAGGCATGAAGTCGGGGGAGAAAAAAAGGGAGAAGAGAATGAAATAAATACCTGTACTCTCTTAGGAGAGCCCGGGGATACTATTAGCATACCTGGACACGCCATAGCCTTACTAACTATAATACAACTCTCCCTCGCTGGAGACAAGCATCAGAAAATTAAGGGCAGGTGAGCAACGTTCAACGACAATTTTTCCAAGACACCTCGTTTCTCTTCTTTTCGTATCTTACCGTTTATATTTTACACTTTTATTCAATATCTCGGTTACTATGGTTGGACTGTCATTGTCTTTTTCCTTTGACTCTCGCGTCACTGTTCTTGAAGACCGTGAAGTCACGTGTGACAACATATGTGATTGCTATACAAGTAGCGATATATGAGCATCGATGCAAGGTATGTGTATGTATAAATTTTTTTGATCAGATTCCGCTACCCGATCGATGATTATGATGCAATGCAGCGGTATAATATGCATAAGATTATGTAAATTCAAAACGGGATCAGGTTGTGGGTTACTTTGCATTTTGGATTCGAGTCGAAGAGGATTCATTCGCGTATCATTATTCACAATGTTTTATAGAAGGACTTTGTAAGATTGTAAAATTTTTTTATTAAAAATCAAAATCCTGCATTGAAAAATACTATAGAAGCATTGCTCAAAACCGAGGTGCAAGCTGTAACGAACGCAAGCAGCGTGCGTATCGTTGAGACGCGTCTGGTGCACCGAAGTAAGGGTGCATTCACATCGTGAAAATGAATAGCAACGATGAAAAAAAAAAGGAAGGAAAGTTAGAACCGCTAAAAAATTTAATCGTAAATTTTTTCAAAAAAAGATTATACCAATCGTAAATACAGTATGGAACAGTAGCAGCCATCTCGGGTCGAGGTGCACGAGAAGGAGCATCAGGATGCATGCCGCGGCGCCTGGGTGGATATGTTTTTGTCGAGCTGCACACTGGACGGACGTCCAGACTGGGTGCGCAGGGACTCCTTATTCGGCCGATATACGAATTCCATGAACGTCCCATCATTTTTATATGCCCAGGCAGGCTGTCTTGTCTGAGCTCCCATGTGTGTACGAAATGGCAGTATGCTATATATATATATACTTGTTCCCGTGAGATGTCCACGCGGGCGTAAAACTGACCCGTGAGATGTCCCAAGTACTATTATTGGAAAGGCCTGCGGTTCCCGTAGGAGGAGTCCGATACCCGGTTGGACGGATATAGCCACTAGAGGACTCAATGGGTACGTCAGGATACACGTCAGACTCCAAGGGAAAAGTTCCTTTTGCAATGGGGCAAGGAGTGCAAGAAGTAAAGAAGCATTTAAGAACGGAGCTTTTCAATCGTACGACTAGGAAGACTTTTTTATTGTTTTCGGAGCTTTTTTAAGCAATTTTTGTACGTGCGAGTATTTTGCTCTCTCAATCCATGCCTGGCCCAGGCATTCTTCCACCGCTAAGTTTTTTCCTCTGGTATTGATCGACGTTCGCCAAGAGAAACGACGAGCCGGCATAATTCTCGAAAAGATCGAAGCGAGGCTTCCGCGACAATGGACAATGGCGCAATAATCTACAATAGAGATCCGCCCGTGCGATTTCTTCACGAATGAATAGGGTCCCTAGGACAATCATCTCGTAAACTCGGCTTTCTTATTGTCAAGTTCTCTCTTGCTCAGCAGAATGTTTACACGCCAGACGTTGCTCGCTGAACTCTTGGATAACAGGATAGGTATACGTACATGGTTGTACGCTTGTACTCATAGTTGGGTTAAGTTGGGTTAGGTTGGTCCTGGAAGCACAGATTTCACTTCCTCCATCAGTCAGGACTGTGGGCTCCTGCATGAAAACCAGTTGGTCTTGGTATTCTTGCGTCGCAGGGAGAGTGAGAACCGTGCGAGAGTTCATCAGCAGGTCTCGGGTAAGTCGTCCAGGATTGGTACCAGATGGTCCCGAGTCTTCCTTCGATACCTGTCACTGGGTCCATGCTCACCTGCTCCCGTGTCCACTGTTTTCGAATCCCAAAGGAAGTCGGCGGTTCGTCGCGATGAAGACGTAAGAAAAAGAGAATCAGGATGCACGAGGAAGACGCGTCCAGCTTGGAGGGAATAAAATGGGTGCTGGTCAGGAATGACCGATAATACAGGAAATCCAGGGGCCTTCTTGCATTCCCGATGCTTCCTTCCTTGTAATGTGCATTTCTGATTCGTGGACAAGCATACAGAGGCTGGTCGTGCGTGTTCGGGCCAATGAACGTGGAGAAAGGATTGGCGGAGTATATAGTGGGGTCTGAAGTTGTGGGTTAAAAAGAAAGGGACCATAGGAATGCCGGCTAATTTGTAGCATGGCTTAGCAGACCGAGCTGCGCGTGCGTTTTTGTCGTTTGCTTCTCTCTCTCTCTCTCTCTCTCTCTCTCACTCACTCTTTTTTGGAACCAACCAACTCAATAGCCACGCACGTGTTCACGCGTAAACTCGTGTATGCGTGCACGCGTGAATACAGACATTTGCATGACGCCCAATGGCTACTTCTTGTTGCGACCTACCTTAAGATTCAGAGCATAATAGATCTTCCTTGTGCTCTTGGAAATCAAGCCTACCAATTGACTACTGCTGTTACAGTAAACTGGTATTTGCATACGTTTCTTATGTACGATTAATTTATTCCGTGCAACGATAAGTATTTGCCGGATAAGAGTAGAGCGATACATAGCCTTTGCCAATTTATGGCAGCGTACATAGGCTATTGAATAATGTTACTTGGTAATTGGTATACATTTTTTCATGCGGTTATAACTCAGAAGTAAGTTATGAATTTCTATTTAAAAATTCTCAGCAACCATTCGTTTCGTCAGTTGCATTTAGTCAGCTCTGGTTTACGGAAAAACGTGTAGGTAGTATATGCCTTGGACACTTTCTTTTTCTTTTTTTTTATACGCATTATTAAAGTTTTCCAATGCACCGAGATCTCCCACGGGAGCCATACAGTCACTCGTGAAGTCAGGTAGCGAGTACCTTCACTAGCGATATCGGTTCTCGTATCTCACCCAGCATCCCATACGACTTCCGTAGCATCCCATCGTATCGGGATTACGTACTCAAGTCGCGCACTCGATCCCCACGTCTTACATGGACACTTGCACGCTTTGTGAGACCGGCCACCAGGCCAGTTTATCACGATGGCCGCTAGTTGGCATTTTGGCGCTACTGAAAATTATTGTGAAAAAAAAAATGTATTAAAACTTCACTTCAAATCCCATTCAATTTCCGTCGTTCGGTTGGTTGGTTGGTAGTTCGATTCGGTGACGTGGATTTTTTTTTTTCTTCAAAATTCATACGACGCAATCGATTTTCAATTCGTTGTTTGTATCATTGAGCAACTTTGCGAAACGTTCTTGGCGGGTGCACGACTCTACGTGCGTGAGCTAAGTAGGCAAGACCTCGGAGAGACTTTATCGCGCGATCAGCCATTGCTTCGTGAAGTCGCAACGGTTGCACTCGTGTCGCATTATGCGATTGCGCCTTGGTACAAAGTGGCGCGAGCCGAAAGCACCGTCAATTGAGGTTAGGAGACCTCAAAAGAGTAGCTGACGCAGATACTTATAAGGTTATGTATGTCTTACGGGAATTTTTCTATCATCAAACTATAACTTTTCCTTGTTTGCGATGACTTTAAGATTCTTCGTAAGGATTCGTCTCTCTCTCTCTCTCTCTCTCTCTCTCTCTCTCTCTCTCTCTCTCGTATATCCAGCTTGCAAACGTCAGTCTAATCCACTGTATTCGTATGTAACGTATGTACGGTAGCAGCGGTATCTGGACATAAGGAATTGTCGGAATTTAGGACACCGGAATTCTAAGGTAGAAGCCAGTGGCCTCTGTTGTGTTCGGCACGCACGCTCCTCGGAAGCCAGTTAGGCTGGAATTTCATAATGGGGGAGTGTCCCTGCTGGCTCAAGGTATATATCGATGAGTTGTGCAACTTTCGCTCGTTACCGCGGACAATCAAGTGCCGGCGAGTATCTGGGTTAATTGTCGCTCGCGAGACTCTCAGTATTATTCAGGGAGTGTAGGTAGCGAGTGGCGAAAGGACGTACGGATGTTTTGCCCGAATCCTTCCGTCATTGCGAATCACGTTTAATTCGCGTTTCCTCCTGCAGATGGCTACGAGCGACTAAAATTCACGAAAGTATCGAGGATCAGTTGTAATTTCCTGATTGCACTCAAGATCTCTTATCTTGGATACTGATGATATTTATTTAGGCAGCAACGAGATTCTTACTTCTTGCTCTGGAATACTCACGCTTATTTCTATAGAACTCCCGTACTCACTGCGTGCAGGACATAACCTCGTATTACGTTATGATAAAATGACGAGTGTATGGAGCTCTCGTACCCTTTTTCTTCACAGCGAGCTTACTATCTTGACTAATCTACGTAATGAGCGGACATATTACGATTATCATCGGTGAATCAGCC